AGGGGTGTGGAAAAAAATAAGCATGGAAAGGCATAATTTTAGGGATGCATCAAATGGAATGTTGACAATGGGATGAGAACAAGCTTTTGGAAGGACTCCTGGCTTGTGGGAATGAGCACTCATAAATAGATTTCCCAAATTTTTGCAATTGGCACAAGGATATTTCAGTCCATGGTTCCTTCAAAGACACTTAAGGAGTATAAGAATGGTACGTGGAAGTAATAAGACATCTCAACGACTACGAAGTTGAGTTTGGAGCCTTACTTCTGCAGAGACATTCACAATTAGGTCTTTCTATAATTTTCTAACTGAGAATTACTATATTAAGACCAAGTTTCCTTATCAGCAAATCTAGAAAGTAAATACACCTTCTTCGCTTGGAAGGTTGGGTGAAGTTGTATTCCAACTATTGATAAGTTAATGAGAAGAGGTACGATTATGGTCAACGACTATTTTCTATGTAAGAGAGCAAAGGAGGCTTGTGATCATATTTTGTTTAGGTGTTTAATAGCATACAATCTTTGAACCATAGCTTATGGGTTCCAGAGGATTAGTTGGGTTATGCCTAGTACAATTAGGGATGAAACCTAGGCCAAGAAGAGGCATTTGTAGGGTAAAAAAACATGTGGTCCTCATTCCCATTACTATTTTTTGAATTGTAAGGGAAGAGAGAAATAGGAGAATTTTTGAAGGGATGGAGGAGGATATGGATAAGATTAGAAACAGATGGTTCTAGACCTCAGGTGTTTTAGTAATGGGTCATCTTATATTTTCTTTAGAAGATTTCGAGGACCTTATTAACCTTTTAACTGACATGTAAATACTTTTGTATACAGATTGACACCCTCTTGATGTTTGTATTCAGTGACATATATCATAATTTTACTTTAAAAAGTAAATAAATGTAGTTTAATGAACAAAAAAACTGAAAAAACTCTTATCAAAAACTTGGATTGTGACAATAAAACAAAGCAGATCAGCTCTTCAAAAATTCTACAATGTTGTTCATTTTTTAAATAGCTTTTCTTTAATAAGGATACCAATAACTAAGCTACAAGGGGGAATTGGATTTTGAATCCAGGACCTCAACCACAATAGAGAATGGTAACCATTAATACAAAATATAGCAGTTTCCAAACACCATACAAGATTTTCTTAGTGAAAAAAGATATATTACTACGGAGAAGAAACAGAAACATAATAAATGGTGGATAAGAGAGATCTTTCAAAAGAGAAGAAAAAGAAAAGGAGAAAAAATAACATTAAAGACAAGAAATCAAAACAAAATTGCATTCTGATCTTTTTGCAAAATAGCAGGATCATGGCCCAAGAGATGCCAAGGTCATGATCCGAGAGAAATAAAACACAATCCTCTAAAGTTCCTCGTGCTTCTCTTCAAAACATAGCACCCAAAAACCATCAAATAAGATACCCTCCAGATAAACCTTACCTTCTTCTTCCTCACCTGGTAGAGAAGAAGAAATAAATCACTCAAGAGGACGAGAAAGCTAACACCAAAAGAATCAAACAGCCTACTCCAAAATCTCCTGGCCCCATCTAATGCAAAAGAGGACGACTAAGGGATTCAGCCTCTTGATAGTACATGACAAAAATATATGGGAAAAGAGCACAGTCGGGCATCCATGCTTGACTTCTATTAGGAACAGTTGCCCAAACAAAAACCTTACTCTTACGAGGGCATTCACCTTCCAAAATAACATTGGAGAATGCCACATTTTGCATGATAAGGCTGTGTATGATTACAACATTTTGCCCCCTTTTTTCCTTAAAGAAAATAATGAGTAGCACCGTATGTCTACTCTTTCTATAAGCTGTAGCAAATAAACACTACATGTCTAGACATGTGCATTTTATGAAATATAGTTACAATATATAGGATGATTAGTTTAAAATTTAAATGTCACTTGCTTCTTATTTAGATCAATTCATCATAACAAATAAAGTTTAAAGCTTGCAACAATTCCAAATTTTAGTAAAATTTATAATTATACACTTAGTTCAACTAGAAAAAAATGTAAATTCTATTAGAAGATCATAAAAAATAATCTCATATGAAATTCTGCTAGTATAAAAGATTTTCACCATTTGTAATTAAACTAAGGATAAATTTGCAAATAAATGCTACAAAAGTTCTAAATCTGTTTGGAACATAGCCTAACAGATGCAGAATAAGCTATCATTTCCATTTACATTTGCTTTGCAAAAATTCCGTTCTCATTTAATACTTAGACTTTAATTATTTGATATACAAAAGTTAGTTATTATTTAATTATTTGAAACACAATTGAATCAACTACCTATACATCCTACAATCATACATTTGTTTTCCTACTTGTCAATGCAGAAGTAAAACAACGCCTAACTTGAATTAGACATAGAATTAACTTGAAATTGTAATGTTATTTTCTTTTAAACTTCTATCTCATTTATATTATATTTCCATTCCATAAAATTGTAATTCCAATTAAACTTAACAATCCAGTTTAGAGAATTGCAAACTTTAATATGGATGCTCAAGCACATGAAATGGTATCGGCCTGACCCCCAATACCATGGTGTTAAAACCAGGCATCAAAAGTTACAAGGATATTAACCTACAGAAAAACCTTAATACAAAAAATAATCACTGGGAAAATGATAGAAATATAATCAACTAACACAGAGCCCTACAGTTACAGATTAATTTGTCAATGAATCATAACAGAATTGGAAATTAAATTTGACAGCTAAGGTAAATGGATAAAAATTTTGCTACTCACCGCTCCAATGGATGAAGAATCGGTCTACACCCAGGAAATACATTATCAGTTTGCTGATCATCAAATCTTTCGGATCTTTGCTTGAGAACACTTTTTGTGAGCTTTTTCCTTGCCTTAACCTTTATCCAGAATCATCATTAAAAGTTTATATAAGATATTTTTGAATAAAATTTTTATATACTACATCAACAAATACAACTTGATACAAATGTGCAGGTAACAAGTAGCTTGCAGAAAAGCAGCTTAAAAAAATCCAATAATTGCTAAAATACCCTTAATTTTTATAATTTAAAAGGTCCAGCATAACACTGACTAGATAAACATAAAGCCAGGGAAACTTAAAGTCCACCCAGTCTCTTCCTGGGCTCAGATTGCTCTGGAAACATTTTTAAAAAAAATTTGCTATGATTTTTTTGAAAAATTTTTTGAGAATAGAACACTGAAAACAAAATCAAACCTGTCAGAAGTTTCTTAATATTCAATAGTTCTCATATTACCTTTTGCCGAAGAGTTTCAATATAAAGCGCCTCACGAACCAAAGGGAAGATTGTAACAAAATCTTCAAGCATGTCTTTATCTCTATAAATGCAGTAAAGCTTCAGTTTTATTTTCTCATTAAGCCACCATGGTGTAGATTTATCAATTGGAACCATATTGTCTGGATCTGTGACCCAGTAGGCATCAAAGAAAGAAGTCATTAAGCATTTTGGGATGTACTATTGTATAAAAGTCATGTTAGAGATATACCTGAATTTTCTGGAGGAGAGAGTAAAGAAATTGCTTCATGTTCCTTAGCATCTTCAACAAGGAGGGAAGCCAATGTTACTCGGGCATCAACATTCTCCGCAGATTTATCCAGAGCTGAATTCTATTCTCAGTCAGTGATAGAAATCCACATAACATTTCAGAACAGAAGAGCGATAAAAGGAGCATGCAAATGCAAACACAAGCAACAATCATCTCAAATTCCAACATCCATATTGACAAGAAGTAGCCCCAATTGAAATTTTGCTTTTTCATAATTTAGAGAAATTACATTTTTAATTGGGGTAAAATGTTGAATGACCATAAAGAGAGTGCATTATTTGAAACTTTTATATACAATGAAGAAAATTTGTTAGGCTTCTTACAAGTTTTAACTGTAAGGATACAGAACATTTTGTATATGGACACCATCCATGCCCTCCTGAACAAAGTTAATTTTCTAACAAAAATATTAAGAAATTATATTACCTTTGTAGAAGAACATAATTGCTTGCATTCTCTCCTTCAAGAATAAGTAACACTCAGCTATTTTTAGTAGTAAGGAGACCTGCTAGACATAAAACTAATAAAACTATTAAATATCAAGATCCGACCTTTCGGAATCTTTCAATGCACAAGCACAGAAACAAAGCACCTTGAATCATAAGAATCATAAATATTTTAGAACGAGAAAACGACAAGTAATATTAAGTCACCACATAGGTGCAGCCCTTCAGAATCTTTCAATGCACAAGCACAGAAATAAGGTGCCTTGAATCATAAGAATCACAAATATCTTAGAAAGAGAAAAGGATAAGTAATATTAAGGCACCAAGTAGGTGCAACCCTGATACAAACGGCAAATAGAAGGTCTTCAAAGGTAAACAATATCTATGTTATCTGAAAACCATAGGTTCCTATACGAGAGATTGAGAATTCTCAAAGAATGATAACGACAGACATAAAAGGGGTAGATATTCTCAAAGAGTGATTAAAAGCTCTTTGGTTCCTCTCTTTTGAAATGACCCAGACCCAAAATAGGAGGAGTGAGAGATAAGGTATCTCTCTTCTTGGAAGAGGGTATGCTGCTCCAAGCCTAGAGTCCATGACTAACTCAGACACTAAAAACCTAAGACACAACAAGAAGCTAAAAGCAGAATCCCAAAACTTTCTAACTTCCAGTTGCCACAGAAGGATATTGACAGGGACTCAGTCATCGAGACCTAGGAAGTACTGGTTGACCATGATTCTTGAAAATGCCAATGTTTAAATTCTGCTCAAGCCGGCTTCCGAGTAAGAAAAAAGCAATCATATGGGGTAAGTTTGTTTTTTCCATATGTGCTTCCAATGAAATTATCCAGCATAGCATAAGGCAGATTTATAAGGTTGTAGCAGGCCTTCACCACAAATTTGCTGTCTATAGTGTGCTTCCAAACCGGCCTGTCAGCCCCATTAAAAGGAATAGAATAAGACTCCAAAATAAATGAGAATCTGTCCAATCATCAATCTCCCGGTCATTTAGATTACGAAGGAGAACATTCCATTGGATTCTACCATTGTACCACTCACTTTAGCCTCCTTGAACCTTATAACTGAGAGAATACAAAAAAGGAAGTCTTTCAGAGGAGTAAGAGAGCACCATGGATAAATGTCAAAATGTAACACTAATAACCTTGCCAAATCTAAACCAAGTGCCCCAAAGAACCAAATGCCAATTATTGCAAATCTGTCTCCAAAGATTCTGACCTAGAGCACCTCTGCCTACTTAGACCACCATCTGTCAGTGTGCAAACCAAATTTGGCCCTCAGAAGCCTCCACCAAAAGGTGCCCTTATTGCCCAAAAAAAAGAATCTTCATTGCCATTTGACTGAACAACCCTGGTGAAAGACAACAACGACTTAATCCCTATATTATCAAAACCCACAGGTTTTTCAACCTTATCCTGGTGACTAAATGGAAATTTTTATGTTTACAAGAATCAGCCATAAGAATTAGCGTTGAATTGCTTCAATCCCTTTTTGCATATGCTGTAGAGATGGGAGACAGTAATGGAAACAAATTAGAGAGGTTAGACAGGAAATTTTTTATGATCGTGAGCCTTCCCCCTTTCGGCAAATAGTTTTTTCACCCAGCCAGCCTCTTTCCATTTTAACCATAATATGTTCACATAAAGAAACATCCTTGATATTGGCACTGAGGCGGAGCCATAGGTACTTAATGGGCAATTCACTAGCTTTGCAACCTAGAACTTGAAGCATGTTAGCAGCATTAGTCCTAGTAATGACAGGGACAATCTCTTATTTACCCCAATAAACCTGACATAGCGTGAAAACACAGAAAAGCACATTTTAAGTTGATATGTGTTTCTTTTTGGCTTCAAAAAAATAGTATGTCATCCTAAACAAAAGATGGATTAAAACCACTCTGTGATCCTAATCACCAACAAACATCCCTTCAGTAAGACCAAACTCACCTTTATAGATAAGAGGGGATTTCCTTAACTTAAGCCCCTAGATGATTGAAAGAAACTGAATGATCCATCATTGATAATGACTGCAAAAGAGGGAGTTAAATTTCTTACCAAAGCCCATTCCTTTAAGAAAGTAAATGAGAAAGGACCAAGAAACAGGTCAAAAGCTTTTCCAAAGTCAAGTTTACAAAACATACCTTGACCACCCCATCATTAAAACCACTATCTTGTTGCTATTAAAGAAGTGTCAAGAATCTGTCTACCACCATCAAATTGGAAACAAACTAGTTCGAGTTAGAAAACTCATAAAACAAGTCTACAGTCTCATTGATCACCTCCTTTATACCTTCTAAACTCAACCCACGCATGGCACTTACTGCTGAGAAGATATTCCTCCACCATCCTTTTGCCTCAGAGCATTCTAGGACAATCACTCTCCTCCAACCTCCAGCACTGAATTCCTTGAGTTCCAGGAATCTGCTTATAAATCCTCCCTAGCTGCTTATAAATCCCATAACTCATGAAAAGATGTGTTATGATCCTCAAAGATCTGACTGTTTTGAGAGAGCCAGAAGCACCACAACCCAGCAAATATATCCCCATGCCAAAGAGGCTTGGTACTCTTCATGGGTAAAAGAGCACAGGAGAGTTGCCACATTTGAGGGGGTAACCCAATTCAATCCAAGAGCTCTAACCAAATTAGTCCAAAACCTCCAAGCAGTCCACAATGTAGAAATAGGTGAGAGTGAGTCTCCTCCCTTTAGAGCACATGAACCATATATTTGGAGATAAGGTTCAATGTGGTTGACGAAGTTAAAAGTGATTTTTGTTAAGCTTCTGATGGAAGGCAATCCAAGAGAACACCTTTACCTTTGATGGGACCACAACTTTCTAAAGTATCTTAGCAATGTGAAATTGGCTAAAGAGGGGGTTGCTTGTGATATGATCCAAGAAAGACTTACATGTACACAGCTCCAATGACCCAAGGATCCAAGCTATGTTATCAGGTTGATGTGAGAGATGAATTGGCTCCCTATCATGAAAGGATATCATGAGTCTCCCTATCAGATGGGTGCCAGGTAAAGTGGAATCCAAGAGAAAGTTCCATTGGTATTGAAAGTGAAAGTGGATATATGGCATTGTGTCTGGCGGAAAGGTTGTATAGTCCCAGGAATTCGGATGGTAACAACCATTTTTTTCATTTTTAAATCCTCCAAAGATACCCTAATTGTATTAAGACACTGCCAATTCCAGTTTTCAACAACAGCAGCAAAGATTAAGAATGTAACAACCTGAAATTTGAATAGTTCTTCCCCTTTGTTTAACTTTGGTGTCAAAAGAAGAAAGATGAATTTTTAGCACCCGGAAAGGAAAAAAAAAAAAAAAAAAAAAAAAAAAAAAAAAAGGGGGGGCCACGTCAGCAGGCCCGGTCAGCAGTCCCGGCCAACCAGGGCCTGCCACGTGGCAAGACCGCGTCACTCCAAAAGGAGCCACGTTGGCGATCCGCGTGGGTGCGATCCGACGGCCCAGATCAATCACGCGATCGGACGGCCCAGATTCAATCGCACGGACGGCCCAGATTCAATCAAAAACGAACGGCCCAGATTAAAACAAAATGAACGGCTGTGATCAAAAGGCAAGGGGTTATAAATAGAACCCCCACACCAGACCACAAACCCTAGCCGCCAGCCGCTCGCCGGAGAAGACGAACCAGAGGCCGACCGCCGCCACCCGTCGCCACTCGCCGCCGCACCGGGGAAATTTCCGACCGCCGATCGAGGTAAGTTTCATACCCCCGACTCGTTTTTCCCCACTGATTCCTCCTATGGCCAAATCGAAGCCGAAATCCCGGCCAAACGGCCGGAATACGCGGCCGAAGCCCAGCGGCGCCGCCGCGCCCCCTCTCGGTTTTTTGCCTCCGACGAGGCCCTTCCCGGCCTCCGTTCGATGCAATTTTTATATCACCGTGATCACCATTCTTTTCTCTACAGGTTGACCGGAGCCGAATCACCAAAACACGAACCTCGCCGGAGAGTCGCCGCACCCGAGAGCGCCGCCGCCGGTAAGCTCCGTTTTTCCGTGATTTTTTGGCCCCCCGAGGGCCCTAAGGTTCTTTTCTGACAAGGACCAATGCGAGTGTGGCCGAATTCGGCCGAAAACGGCCGAAAACAGCCAACCCGAGGCGACTCGCCGCCGCCAGCGGCGGCACCGTCGCCGGAGCACGGCGGAGCCGCCTTGCCGGAGTTGCGATTTGGGCCGAAAGAGGCCCTGGGCCTAATTTGGATTTTTTTTGGAACACGTGCAGGTACTGTTAGTGTGTTTCAGTTCCCCGAGAAACATTCAGGGAAAATTAGGGACAGCCTGCAGGCGCACTGTGAATCGTATTCGGATCTCGAAAACAAGTAAGGACCCCTCACCCTATTTCCTATCACGGTATTAAAGTTCAAAATGATAAAACGGTATTTCTTGAATTAACGAATGTGTGAAATTGCTTAAGGTGGCTAATGGAGCCCGAGTCTAGTGTGATTGGTGATTTACTGTTATTTGGCCTGTTTACAGCTTTAAATGCAAAATGAGGTTTGATGTGTTTATTTTACAGATTTGTGCGCATTTACTACGTTTTTATTAATCATGGGTTGAATGACTAAAAAACTGATACTGTATATTGTATGTTCGGCATGAATTACTGTTTGCTTGTTTGTGTGTGAATTGATGATGCTGATTGAGGAAAAGGAAAATGAAAGGTTGTGTAGACTGATAATTGTATTATGGGGGTCAGCCTGACTAGATATCTTGGGAGATGGTGGACGGACCGGGTCCGTAGGGAACCCTACCGGGATTGTGGTCTCACATGCCGGACGGGGTATGGAGATCTTATGGTTTTGGCGCCCATACCGGACGGGGTATGGGGACGGCCCGTTTCACCCTCATACCGGACGGGGTATTGAGGTTTATGGTTTTGGCGCCCATACCGGACGGGGTGTGGGGACGGCCCGTTTCACCCTCACACCGGACGGGGTATTGAGGTTCATGGTTTGGCGCCCATACCGGACGGGGTATGGGGACGGCCCTGGAAACTGATTATGAATGTTAAAGGTTAACGGGTAGCGGAACCCCTATGGACCCCCACGGATACTAGTAGGCTGGTAAATGAGAAAAAAAAGATATGTTGTACAATGATTGGATTACAAGAGGCGTGATAAGTGTTATGTTTTACAGCTTAGATTATTCAATGATTATGATAATGTTATTGTTTTCTCATATTGTTTTCATAAATTCCACCAAGGTAAGTGGATGGTAAAAGTTTTATTATTGATAAAAGGTTTTGTTGTAAATTATGCTCCATTGGTCTTTTTGTGGTTTTCTACCCACCTTTATCTCCGTGACGGTGAGATATCGTGATGTTCTTACTGGGCTAGTGTAGCTCACTCCTTAATTAACCATTTCAGATCAGGAAGACATGGTTCCCGAGCCCGTTCCGCAGGAGGACGACGAAGGGGATGCCTAGAGACTCTGTAGTCATACGCATAGTTTATTTTCGAGTTTTCTTTCTTAGTTAGTTTAACCTTTTATATTTTAAGTACGTTTGTTTGGTTTTTCGTGTAAGGGATGTTAAATGAAATTTTGATCTCGCTTCCGCATTCGATATGTTTAAATACTCATTTCATTTTAATATTTTCCGGGGCTGTTACAGAATCAGTGGATAGATGAAAGGGAAAGAAAACAGTTGCATAAATGAATAAATAAACAAATTAATCAGTATCACGGAATAAAGAAAAAAGCAGCAGTTTCCTTACATCAATGTCTCCAGCATTTGTTTCCAACATTTGATAATACTTCAGTGCATGGTTAAAATGTTCAAGACTCATAAAAGAGTCTGCAACTTCAGTAATCAAGTCAACATGATCATGTGCACTATCTGGTTGCAGGGCACTGAACAAAACCTGCAGATCACAATGAAACATCGAGACTGAGTCTGACAGAACGAAATTCAAAACAGAGCCATATACAAAGACAATGCATTTTGGGATTCTCTACACATATAACAAGATGCTCGTAATGGTAACCATAGTGTTGACATTGTACAATTATAAACATGAGAAAAGTGATAGCATATACATGACAAACAAGTAATTTGGCTACAGAAGGATGATTTACAAGTAACATAGAACTACATATGATTACAAATAATTGAAGATAACTTAGTAATGTTAGTAATGTACAAGATTCAAAAAGGACGAAAAATAAATGGATGCTTATTATTACTTCCACCTCTCAAGAGAAGAATAAAAAAGCCACGTAACTTAAATTAGACATGAAACTGACTTGGATTGCAATATTATTTTTATTTAACTTTCTATCCTATTTATGTTGTGTTCTCATTCTTCTTTTATATAATTGGAATTTAATCTAAACTCAACAAAATAACAGTCAAATGCTTGTTTAATCATTTTATCTCTATGATGAGAACTTAGAATGGAAACCTTATACATACGTACATATATATATATAGATATATTTTCAAGAAAGAACACATTAACTTTTTTGTACATTGGTAGCAACCTTTTGTACCCAGTGAATTAACATATTTTATGGAGAAAACAATAAGTAAATGCTAGTCCCTTAAACAAATACTCGTTGGTGGATTCAATAAACTGCTTCGGAGGAAGTGGTTAAGGAGGTTTGTGAGGGAGGAGGAAAGTCTTTGGAGGAGAGTGTTAATTGCCAAGAATTGTGTAGATGGTGGAGGTTGGTTTATAAATCTTCCAAGGGGTCCATACGGGGTTAGAGTTTTGGAAGAAAATTCTCATGGAGAAGGGGGATTGTTAGGAGTGTGTTAAGCAGAGAGCGGGGTCGAGTGTTAGATTGAGCTTCTGGAGGGTTGAGTGGTTGCAAGGACGGAGGTAGCTTTGATTCATCAATTTTTCTATTATCTTTTCTTACCTTGTTTTCAAGCATCTCAACGTCAAAGAGTCCATTTTAGGCTCTTGTGAGAGTGAGAGGTACTCAGTTGAGTTGGTCCAGAATTTAAATAACTGGGAGATCCATGAGTACCTAAGGCTGTTGGGGAGTCTCTCAAAGACAAATGTGATACAACCTCATAGAGATGAGCCTATTTAGAAACTTACCTTTTTAGGTATCTTCTCAGTGTGAAGTCATTTTATTGGCATCTAAATAGGGGGACGATGCCTCATGATGACTTTAAGGCCAATTTGATTTGGAAGGTTAGGACAACTTTTAAGGTGGCTTTCTTTACCTGGGAAGCTGCAAGAGAGAGTATTCTTACTCTAGACAAATTGATTAAGAGGGGAAAGATTTTAGTGAATGGGTGCTACTTGTGCAAGAATGCCACAGAATCATGCAACCATATTCTTTGGTGTTGATATGCTTCTCAGATTTGCAATTTGGCCTGTGGTTTCTTAGGTGTGAGTTGGATGATGACAGGGTTCAACGAGGGAGGAACTATGGGCCTAGACCATAGGCTACCTTTTAGGCTATTTGGAAATTGTGGAATAGGACTTTTGATGGAGCAGAATCTACTTTTGATAGATTTAGAATTTTTGGTTATAGACCAGTGAGTTTTTTGTCAAGAAGTCACCCACCTCATTCTAGCAAGGATTTGAAGGATTTGATTTATATTCTGTTAGAATTGTAAATACTTCTGCGTACAGGTATTAGCCCCTTACTGCTTGTTAATATATTATCCTTTTCTTTTCAAAAAAACATATTCATTATAAGCCCCAAGTATGATGATAGGGTTCGATGATCGCTCCTCCTCAACAGGATGATAAGGGTGGAAGTGGTAGAGTTGATCTCTCATATCCCTAAGTATGATTATAAAGGTTGAGGAAGAAGAGATCAACTCTACCAACTCTATCCTGTTGTCATAATTAGGGATAGAAGAGATCAACTCTACAGCTTTAATCCTTATCCTCGTACTTAGGAGGATGGAAGATCAACTCTACCACCCAACCATTATCATCATACATGGTATATGGTTCCACATAGTTAACATCTGAATATTATTTGCAAAAATTGCAGTCATTGGAGTTACGAAAATATTTTGCTCTGATGTATGAACTATACCAGTATAGAATTTCTACCTCATCTTTTTTTCTAAATATTAAAAAAGGCCATTTGTCCTGCAACAATGGAGCAGACCCAGAAAACTTTTCAAACCTTTATTTCAACAAGCAAGCAAATTAGCACCTGTTTAGGAAAAACTTTGTGGTCAACCAGGCATAATGAAGCAACAAATTGGTGGACCATCCCAAAATAGTGTGAAAACACAAACAAATAGAAATGCAAATCCATCAAAGTCTTTTAATATGTAATAAAGTGAAAATGGGTGGACCATCTCAACACAGTGAAAAGAATAAATAAATAAACTAGAAATGCAAATCCATGTAAGTTGAAACTACGTAAAAGATTCTATTAGCAGAAAGTTACTGAAATGCCACATGAACTAAGAGATTTGCTCAAGCGGAAATTACAGACCTCTGCCTTCTCCAAATCTTTAAGAAAAAGGTGACAGATTCCTGCCTTAATTTGTAAGTTCAAAGGCAGTTCTTTTCCTGAATAGTAAACCATCTGGACATGATCAATATGCTCAAGAGCTCTGTCATGCGCCCTAGTTTCCATCAAAATAGCAGCAAGAAGATCAATCACACCAAAATCAGCTTCACAAGGATTACTCCTAAAATATTCCTCCAGAACACTAATAGATTGCTCAGTCCGACCACATTTTTGGTATAGCTGAAAAAGAATGAAAGCAATTATTGAATTTCTGGAAGCAGTGAAACATGGAAACAAAAACCTATCAAAATAAAGTGTAAATCCTTAAGAAACTTTGCCACAAAACTAAACAAAAGAATTAACAAAGAAATTGGTACTAGATGAGATCAGAACTCAAAGAAAAACAGGGGCAGTAATGTAAAGAAGTGAAAGATTGGGAAACAATAATACAATTGACAATTTATGGACAATTTATCAGTGAACAAAACCGCGCTATTTATAGTACAATAAAGTCAATAGAACATAAGTCAAATTAGATGTATAATTCCTAATCGTAAATTAAATATAGATATTAATCATAGTATTATTATATATTCACATTGGAGTAAATATCTCAGATATTTATCTCTTCAATAACAGACCACAATGAAAGAGAATATTAACTAAGAGAACCAAGATTGCTAACTTAACAAAAGAAACAATTCAATTGACTTGAAGCAAAGATGGCTTTCAGCAAGTAGAATTCCAGTATTTCAACCCAAACAAGGTAGAATCCAAGTATACCATTGCTCCCATCTTGACTGCCTCAAAATCACTGGGTGACAATCGCTGAATTTGCTCATATGACTCAGCAGCTTTTTGATAATTTTCAAGCTCTATGTAGAGTGATGCTTGATGATATCTAAGACTGATATCTTGTGGATCTGCAGTTATTGCCTTAGAAAGGCAATACCACGTTTGGTGTGCATTTCCCTGCTCCCTGAGTTTGATAAATACACAAAATATTGGTAAAAAAATTTAATCAATAACATATAAAGAAATTAAACAAGTAAATGTCTGTTGGGAAATAAATATATACAGACAGGAACTATCATATTATTTAAATGCTTCCCTTAATTAAATTATCCAGTTTTTCTATAAAAAAATAAAAGTTATGAAACATATGCTAGACCACTGAACTAAATCGGACTTATGAACTTCTTAATCTCATCATTAATGGGAGATTAACTAGAAAACCTTCAGACTTAACAAAAGTAACACTCGGATCCTTTTTTATTAGAAAAAGAAAAAAGATCTATGTTCTGACAGAATATGAAAATATTCTGTACAAACTGCTTATAGTATCTTAACTCTGTCAATTTTGTGCCAAGATATTTTAGCAATACATAACGTTATTTCTCATTTAGTGTGGCATCTAACAGCCTCATAGTTTCAAATTAAAGATTTTGAATTCTTTAGGAGCAAAATTTGTAGGTAATGTTAAATATACAATTAATATTAAATGTAATAGAGATATAGTTTAGGAAAAAGATGAGTCAATATTATATTATCTTGGGCCTGTGTTTTTCATTTAGTCAAGCTAAATTTTTAAGAGAAAGTTACATTTTTGTTTTCCCATAAAAAAGAGGATTAAAGTGTCATTTACACTAAGTTTTATGGACTTTTTTAGAACCTCTCATTATTAACTGAATTGAAAAGATAATCTCACCCTTCTTTTAAAATGTGATACCATCATCAAAATTGTCTTCAAGACAGGAAGGCCACAAAGTCACCAATTAAAGACAACTAAAATAGAAAAGGATAAAGAAATTCAATAACATAAGTATATTTATGATATGTTAGATAGGTGGTGAATTACAGAGGCCATGAGGTCCAAAAGAAAAGGGAAAAGAAAATCGTGTAATGAGTCCTACGTCTAAGTTGTGACTGATAAAGTATGGGCTCCATCCTAAATTCACCTCTAATTCTTATTCAATTCATAAGTTTCTAAGTAACGAATAAGGATCTATGAACTATTGAAGGGTAGCAGAACATTGATTGGACCACTTGGATCTCAATAAGACAATGATGATGGACTTGCTCAAATAGCAGTAGTTATAGCATAGAATCGAACATTGCACAAAAGATAGGTACTCCAATGGTAACACCACCGACAGTAGCATTTGGATTACGTCTCATTACATTAAATGAGACATATTGGAGAAATGTAAAAAGTTATAATATAAAAACTCTAACCAAATGCCAGAAATTTTTTATCTACATCTTATTCTTTCACTTGCTATTTGAGATAGAATGATTATGTAAGGCCACTTTGTTGGCTAAGTTGCATGGTTTCTTTGGGGGTTTCCCTTTGTCTATTATGCAAAGGAATTCAGCGGTTACCTTAGATTAATCTTTTCCCCCTTTTTCTCTTTTCTTCTCTTTCATATCTGTTCACTTTCTTTCTTAGGGAGGATGCCTTATCCTCTTCCATTTGTATTTCCTTTCTTTGTTAATCTATTTCTTCTATAAAAGAAAACAACATAAGAACATCTAGGCCTAAAATAATTATTTTTTTAACAAATATAAGGAACAAGGCTGCAATCGAGTTACATGGAGTTTATTTTACCATATTCAGTAAATTATGTATACCAAGAATGGGTAACAAAACAGTTTGTTCAGGTTTGTTTGCTTTCTCCTCCTGTTTTCTTGAAGATCTTTGAGGATGTAACCATCCTCTTCACTTCTACATTTTCATTTCCTCTCTCTATTGATAACACTTCCTTTCATGCAGAAAAAGAAAATAGCAATAAAACAATTGTAATGTTCATCTTAAATGCATAAAATAGAGGTGAATTATGCTGTGATAATACAATGTAAGTCACCATGAGATAATACTTACATGGACCAGGTGAAAAGCAGTTTCCATAGAGATGAATCTCTTGGTGAAAAATTTGCTGCAAGCATGTAAAACTCAAAAGCTATGTTTCTATTACCAAGTGCGTCATGAACAAGTCCTAGCGTATGGTATGGATCTGGCAAATTTGGTGCAAGCCGAACAACTTCACTTAGAACAGATATAGCCTGAATTCAAAATATTATCAAGAGCCAAAAAGGTATTTAGAGTATATTTGACTCATTGATATAAATGAATTTAAAGCATTAGGTGCTTAACTTAAAGCACCTAGATAGAAGTCACTTGTTTCTATAAAATATTTACGTAGTGTATTTTGGTAGAATTAAATAAAAGAAAAAAGTAT